CCACAGGTCATGCCTGCCCCCTCATGCCCCAGCGGACCCCCAATCTCCTCTAGCCTGCTGAACTCCCAACCCCCACAGCGAGCCCATCCATCCTGACTTACCTGGTATCAGACAGCCATTTTGAATCAATGTAACTTCCCCCTAACACCCAAGAATGTTTGTATTTAGCCAAAATGAAAAACAGAGCTTGGTCTATAGTGAATAAGCAACCTCTTAAAGTTTCACTTACAACTATAGCATGTTATTTAAAAGGACCAATCTAGCTTACATGGTGGACTCTCTTTCAATTACCAGGTACATTTTAAAGAAAACTCATTTTACTTTTATAATCTTGAATATTGGTGAAGATATAAAAGCTACAGTGCTGAATAAGGACAACTATAGTGAAAGCAGAGCCCTTAAAACATTAAGTATAAATATCTACCAAATTTCATGCGAATGTACTCATAAGGATCCTCCTGCCAGAGTTCTTCATCTTCATCTTTGTAACACATTAGAGAGAATATCACTTCTTCTGTTATACTCTATGAGAGAAAAGTCAAATATATTTAAGTCCTAATTCAAAAATAGCTTTTTCCTCTGCAAAAAACTAATTTACTGCTTTCTACCTTTTATACACCAGGGAGGTTCCTTTGTCTAGTGCTCCTTTAAATTATTTGTTTCTCATAGGGATAATCTCACAGAGTACATACCTGGCTTTTATGGCCAAGCATCTGATGAAGTAAGTTTCAGCCCACAAAAGCCTATAAGGTGCAAATTTATCCTGCCTTCTAGTTTACCGCAGACTCAGAAAGCAATAGTGATATGGTGATATGGTTTGCAGGGCACAAACCAGTAACAGCAGAACATACTGTTCTGCACAGGGATTTTACAACATGACACTTAGATGAAAGCAGATTTCTTATTTCCCCTTGATCCTCCTAATACTTGACATTCATCTTCTGATAAGTTAACTAAGCCAAGTGTTTATGCTATGGAAAACATACAAAGAAAACCAATTTATCTTTAGCTGCTCCTCTATATTCTAATTACAAAATATAGGTTAATTTTCTCACAGGCTACGTTATCAATTCCTGTCCTTCTAAGGTCACTAGGTGAGTTCGTGCAGAGATTTGGAGGTGTTATCAGTATTCAGATGACACCCATCTCTCTCTGTCTCTCCGCTCTGCAGGCTCTTGTCCTTATGCAGTGCCTGGCTATAGTGAGGGATTGGGTGTGGGTGAATCAATTGAAACTGAATCCAGACAAGACAGAGGTGATGGTCGTACTCAGACCTTATGACTTACAGGTGTGATAGGGACATCTATCATTGATGGGGCTCAGCCTCCCTTTGTCGCTCAGATTTGCAGCCTTGGGATACTCCTGGATCCTGTTGCTGCACCTGGTTCTTCAGGTGGCAATGGTGGCTAGGAGTACCTTTAAGCAACTCCATCTGGAGAGAAGGCTACAACCATTTACTTCAGGTTCATATCCGGCTACCTTTGTTCATGCTATCGTAACCACTACTGCAGCAGTACACTCTAACGAGGGGCTGCCCTTGATGACTGTACAGAAGCTCCAGCTCCTGGAACATGGTGGCCCACCTTCTGATGGAGATAGGCTGCCCAAAGCACATAACTCCAGTGCTTCAGAGTATGCACTGGCTTCTAATAGGTTTCCTGGCAAAATTCAAAAGGTGCTGGTTTTGACCTAAAAGGCTCTAAATGGTTCAGGCACTAGGTACCTGAGGAAACTGCCTTCTCCCTTATGTTCTATCATGATCCTTAAGGTCAGCTGAAAGCAACCTCCTGTACCATCTTCGCACCAAGTTCACTTGGTAAAAATGCATAAGAAATTGTTTTTGGTAGTCATACCTCAGTTCTGGAACTCTCTCCCTCTAGTGGCACTTCAGAGCCTGAGCCTGGGCATCTTCCATGAATTAAACCTTTTTATTCAGGCAGGTTTTAGCAGTTGGAGTTAAAATTTTGGGATGCTGTCTAGGAAGTTTACTTTTCTTACACACAATTTATTTTAATATTTTTATCTACTGCTTTTTACTGTAAAGCTGCTCTGAGCCTTTTTTGGGGTGAGAGCTATATATAAACCTAATAGATTAAATAAATGAATCTTCTCTTCTTCACAAAATCATACTGTGAACTCTACAGTATAATCACATCTGAGCACTAAAGACAGAGCAATAAAAAGAGTAAGAGTATGACACCTTAAATAAAAGCAAATGATAAACAGAAAAATATAGTAACAAAGCATATTTGTGTACATATGTTATTTTTCCCCTTGTTAGGTTGATGACAAGGTGAAATATTTCAAGTCCCTTGTAACAGATCAGAAGTCCCAATATCATCTGATGACATTTAGTGTTAACACCAGTGTTCTTCCACAGACCTGTATGTGTGGTTTCATCTGTTTCCAGGTTACAGAGTGAATGACCCCTTGATTCAGATAGTTTAAGATCTGCTGAATGACACGTGGAGCAACATATTCTTTTTGCCTGTACTGGTCTACGATTTTCAAGAGAACCTAAGAGAATAGCAAATTTACTTTTTTTTAAATGAAACCTGAATATTGCCTCTCTCTCTTACATAAGCACATGCATGCATGCACAAACACACACACACAAGCACCACAAACCTCTTAACAAAGACATAATGATAAGTCAATGTCAACTGAAGCAGAAATTCAGGTATTAATAATTTCTAAATTCCTTCTATCTAAAGACAAAAAATCTTTTACGCATTAAGGACCTGATCTTGAAAGCTTTTCAGATTCAGGACACTCTACCATAACGTTTCTGAATATGGCAGTATCCCAGTTAATAAACACTATTGTACTGCCTCAGCTTACCTCAGTGGTTCTCAACTGGGATGATCCCACTACTGCTGCAGCCAGATAAAACTATTCTCTCTAAACTGGTGCTTGGGGCTGGTGCCCCTCTGGTCCCTCCAGTGATGCTACTGTTCCTATCAGCGTTAGATTTATCAGATAAACCTAATGATGCACACTCCTCCTGGCAACAGAGGCATACAGGACAGAGACACCTATCTGGTTCCACACAGATAAAATACAGGAACCACACAGATAAATCTGCAAGTGGCCACAGTGTTGCCACCTCCAGGTGGCACAGTTCCATACGCCTCTGTTTCCAGAAGATGCCATACAGGGCCAGTTGGGTTGAGAAGGGCTGTGGCAGGAGCAGGCACTCCTCCGAAAGCCACTTCACAAGCTGGCTCCACACAAGACGTGTGGCAGTTTCATCTGCTGGCGGTAATGACTGTTGCAATGCCCATACCGCAGCACCCCTGAAAACAACTCGCATCACCCCAGCTGAGAACCACCAATATAGGTGATGTTAGGCACCCAAACCTGAAAAGAGAACCCTAATTGACTTTGCCAAAAACACAAAAATTGAAACAACATTCTTAACTCTGTTACCTGCTGTAATCAATAGACTACATCTTTCCTATTAATAGAAATGCAAATGAAAATTTCATTCTTTCCTTTCATTCTATAATGGAGACTTGCTATGCTCAGGAACATAAAATATTACAGTAGGAGGAAACTAATCTGTATGAATGACAGAAAAAAATATTGTGAGTTACCAAGTATTGGAAACTGACAATCATATGAACAGTAATTAAAAAACAAAAAAATCAATGCACAGCAAAATATTCTCTAATAACTTATTTTCTAAAGGGCAGTTTGTCTCATAATTTTTCACAGCAGAGTAATAAATCCCTTTGTGATTACACACACCCACACACACAGATACACACTTTCTAGCTCATTTTGTCTTTTCTTAGTCTTCTATGCTACATATGCCTTAAGGCAAGGACTGTCCCTCTCACACAGGGTTTAGCACAATGTCAGCATTTAACAAGTAATAGGGTGTAGAGGGCTTAAGAATAGGACATTCTCTACAGGTCTCTCATTACATCTGCTGAAAAATGTGGTGAATCATTAATTTAAAAACCAGAAATGGAAGAGAGACCTCTGCAGATAATTCAGCCCATCCACCTATGAGGTAAATTGTTTCCCATGATATTTAATCTAGTCTTTTTACAGATTTGGGTTTTAAACATTCCAACTAATGGGTTTGTGACAAGTGCCATTGGGAGATTATTTTACAGTTTAAAAAGTCTCACCATCGTAGTGTTCAAACTGATTATATCAAAGTATTTTCCTTTTTAAATTCATCCATTACTACTAATTTTACCATTTGTACCTTGCTTAAGGTTCAGCCATTTCAAATGTATGAAGAATTATCTTATATTCTTCTTAATAGACTTAAAATAACTATAAACATTTAATCTCACATATTTTGTGCATGGGGTAGGCAGAGGATTTTGATATTTACAAATCTGGTTTAGTTCTGATCTGGAGAAAAATATTTCAAAATTCCCCACAAAAACAAACATGCCTTGGAGTATAGAAGCCCTAGGGTTTTTGGTTCAGGGCCCATTTTCAAAGCAGGCTGCCTGCAGCCACAAGTCCTAGAAAGACAGGATGCCAGGGAGCTGCAAACCTAGAAGCCAGAAATTTTTGAACATGGCTTCCAAGCTCCCCCATCATTAGCCCTACCAGGATGAAGGGTAATCAAGAGCTGGGGATTCCCAGCTAAGCCAGGAGCACTGAAGCTTAGAAGCAAGATCCAACAGCTTTCCTGGCTCTTCAGGACCCAGCCTTGTGAGCAGTGGGCAATACAGGAACTTGGAAGCCTTTAAAGTCCTAGCTGAGCCAGAAGCCTGGAAGCAATACTGCCCGGGACTTGCAAACTGCCAGCTCCCCACCAGCCCATCTATCTGGCTGAAGGCACAACAGGAACTTGAAAATCCTGGCTGCGCCAGAAGCCTCAGAGTTTTTCATAAATTCATAGATATAGGGTTGGAAGGGACCTTGCAGATCTTCTAGTCCAACCCCCTCCCCTGGGCAGGAGAGAAAACTGGGCTCAAATGACCCCAGCTAGGTAATCGTCAGGCCTCCTCTTAAAGACCCCCAAGGTAGGAGCCAGCACCTACCTAGATCCTAGCCGTGCTGATTGTTTGGGAGTTTAGGTTCCAGAAAAGCTGCTGAGAAACTAGGAATCTGGAGGCCCAGGTTGTGAAGGAGTCAGCCGGGCAAGCTGGCAAGAAACTAAGGAAGGTTTACTTGTGTTCCATAGCAGCCTTCATGACAACTGAACCATCTCCACAAAACATCTTAATGTTGGTGAAATGGCTTTCCCCAAAGTAATAACGTTCCATCAGAGACCTTCATTTTTATAAATTATACCTTTCATGGTTTGTGTGTGTGGGCGTGCACACACATGTAAAGTCAATCTTTGCTACTGCCCTCCAAAACACCTCCAATCTTGCATCTTCCTGGCAACACACTCAGTATAGAATCCAGTGTTCCAGGAGAGTTACAACAGACCTGCATACAAAGTGTGGCTTGGAAATGCATCGTTTTCTGAACTGATTCCCAGATGGAAATACCATTAACAGGTGCTCCAATTAATCTCTCACAACTACACTAAAAGTTTGACAAGTTGTTTTTGTATCTTTAAAGAGGCTGACTGGATTCCTAACATCACATATACAGATGCTACATGAAGGTAACGCACCTGTTCTGCAGCAGTTATCCTCCTTAGAAAAATAATCTTTACCTGTTGGATTCCCACAGCATAGGTCTTTAAAAAGAACTCTGAAAATTCAAAGTATTCTTTTGTGACATTTCCAGGACTTCCATACCTTTAAAAGAGAAGAGAATACAAGTATTCACATTTGTAAGATAAGTCTTTGTCACCAAGTAATTTATTTAAATGGACATCATTCTAGACCATTAATTTCCTCATAATCTCCATTACTCTTTTTTTCAAAAAGCACAGTATTGTAGCCAATAAATATAGCTGCACTATCATCACAGGAAATATATTTTATGTTTTATAAAAAAATATTCATCCATGCCTTTATACTTTAAATTGAAACATGAGTAGGTGGCTATTAAGTTAGAAAAAAGCTGAACAAATTTTACAGGAAACAAGTACTAGCAAATTAAAAGCTCAGTATTTGGGAGATTAAGACAGTCCTAGTAATTTACAGCATTCAAGAAATACTCAAATGTAAATAGATGTTGCTTGGACATAACGTATGTATTGCTAATATTTCAAGAGCCACTGCACATATAAAATATACTGTTTTAATTAATAATAAAGTTTCTAAGCTGATCTTGTTTTTTTACTAGAATAGTATCTCTAATAAGTTAATAGAATAGTATCACTGGTGGATAGTGGCATGAAGGCTTAGATAATATTCTACAGAGAATACTATAGTGTCTAGTACTTGTATTTACTTCTTTAAACCTTTATTATAAACATGTTAAAAACAAAAGGTGAAAGTGCAAAAATGTGTGGCCCAACCAGGGGCATGAACATCAGTAACAAACTACCATTTTCATTAAAGACTGAATTTAAGGTGCATGCCATTCCTAATTTTGTCTCAATATTATTTTTGTTTTGCTTGGAGATCCCTTTAAAGAGTCTAAACTTATCTTAGTTTTGGTAAATATTAATTACCATGATGGCCAAAGGATGTAAAGCAGTTAGAGAACTGGTTAGGCAAAACAAAAAACCAGTCTAACCTCCTTTGACTTGAAGTTTCAAATCCAAACAAGGGCAGCTCAGCCCTTCATTTTTCTAAAAACAAGTTGAAGATTAGTTTGGTTACTTTCAGTCAGACTTTTGGACAAAACCTAAAGTATATATACCATCTGATCCACTGGGTACCAAGGAACTTGTGGCATCTTCTGTAATTGCTGTATGTATGTAAATTCATTACTCTACTAATCTCTTCTTTTCTAGTCTAAATCATCCTAAAAATGTCGAACTATGGAAAAAGCTCTAAATCTTACATAATTAACATGCACACGCACATACACTTCTAATAAACACAATCCCTGTTCATTCCACCTAGCAAAGGAATGGAGAAGTTCCTAGGAAAGGCAGATGAGAACTAGAAATACTCATCTACTCCCTCCATAGTGATTTTCATCCAGTGATCACCAGGCTTTCACAAACAATTTTGCCTACCAATATCCCAGTGAAGTATGTAAGCATGAACTCAGTTTTACAGGTGGGCATAGCAAAATACAGAGAGATTACATCACTTCTCCAAAGTTACACACCATATCAGTGATAAAGATAGAAACAGAATCTAGAAATCTTCGTTTCCAGTCAGCTGCTTTAACCAGTAGAACTACATTATTTTCTCATCACAAAATAAATAGTACATCGCCAAAACAAATACAAAACACATATTAAACATAACAGTATCCACGAAGAGAGCCGAGTAAAAGCTTATATTAGTTTTTAATTAGCACATTACCGTTCAAAAAGGCGAGCTACAATATGTAATGCCCACTTCTTACATTTCCACCATACCAGCTCTGGCCTATCATCTTCATCAATCTGTAAAGTCTCCTATAAAGAAAACAAAAACAGTGAATATCTACAAAAATTACATTCTAAACATGGCTTACCAAATGTACAAATACAATTTCAATTATTTTTCTTAAGAGTGATATCATGTTATTGGATTTTGTTATAATTCAATCCACAAAATGTTTTATTATACTAAAATGATCTACCCAAAAAGCCTTCATTTCCTGTACGTAATTAGTTATGTTTCTACTTTCATATATTAAATATAACATAAAACAACCACACACATACATGCATGTACCACGCAGTGATACAAAAGAAGTCAAAAGATGATAAGGTTGTAAAGCTAGCAAATGTTAAAGTTAAGGTTTCACATGCAGTACTGCTTAACTCCAGAATTCCATGTTACTGCTTGCCTCAGATTCATTCAATGATATAACATATGCATGCATCTCAACTACAAGATCATGCTGTGTATCTTTGCTACACTCCACCGCCTCCAAGCTCTTGGTAGTGTTCCAGACTCAGTCTCTGAGAGGCATGATTCTGCTTTCAAGCCTTGAGAGTCCAAACTCCTTTTAGGAGCTTTTTTCCACAGATTTGCCTAATCAGAACAGGTCAAAATTTGTAATGTTCCTGATTCCTAGCATTTGCCTTTATCTTATGCTTGTTTTCAATAATTATTGTTGCTGCTTTCCCCTGGAGTGTCACTTGCTCCACTTTCCAGGAATAAAAATCCTGTACAGAAGTTGTGGTCCCCATCTTCAAGAAGGGGAAGAGGGAGGACCCGGGCAACTATAGGCCCATCAGTCTTACCTCAATCCTGGGGAAACTCTTTGAGAAGATCATCAAGGAGCACATTTGTGATGGGCCGGCATCAGAAATGATGCTCAGGGGCAATCAGCATGGATTTATTAGGGGGAGATCAT